TTTTCCCTTGTAATTTCTCTGCAACGCCATCTTTCTGTTTCCCTCTCTCTTTCCGTTTCTCCAACTTTCTTCAGCCTCTGTTTCGCTCTTTCGTTACTCGTGCGGCCAGCTTGTTGAATACGTTCCACGGATATCTATTGGTTATTGAATTTCTGTCCTGCAGCAACGATACGCACACAATATCGAGCTTATTTACATCGAAGAATTCAACGTTGAGAAGCTGGTGTCTCCGCTGAACTAAAAGTGCCCACGATGAATCATCCGAAACGACTGCGAGCCTCTTGGAACAATATTGAAGAAAAAGTCACGCTAGCCTAATTAAATTCCTTTGAGGCTTCCAGTGGATTTACGTATTCAGGATCAAGTATTTCATGCTTATTTAAGACTTTCGATCAACTTTATTCAAATTAATTGGAATCGCTAATTAACGAATTTTTCAAAGTACCATCGTCAATTATCAATTACTGGTTTAAGTAACTAGGCAAAATGGTTGATATTTCGTACCATGAATCTTAGTCAGCCGGTGTTGTTTGTGATTATGCTGTTGTTTGTTCGTCTGCGACTGGTTATTCTCTGGAGGCTGTTCAGGAATCATACATTCAGAGCAACATGACACCGCGGGAAAAAGAATTATTTTTTCCTGTCGCTTGGGAAGAATGCCAACGCCCTCTCACCCAGATACGATTCTGACCCAAAAAGGCACGCATTAAATTAATAAATTACACCGGCTCCTCTCCTTTGGCTCCCGTCCGAATTGCTTGGACTTTCGTGATCCTGACATTTACTTCTCGCCGGTGTCACGTATGCTTCGCCCGGAACGAAAGTTCCCTGTCGATTCAAAAGATAATTTGAACATTTTATTACCTGAAAGACCGTACCCACCATATCCCCTGTAAGATATGATATCTCGATATTGCCGTGATCCTCGATTCTTCTACCGCAAACAATTTCCGAAAACTGATTACGAAAGGTAATATCCAGAGACGAAGAAGACTCTTACGATCCTTTGAATTCCAGAGGAAAGATCTCGACCTTTTCATTTATCCGTCACTGATTAGCAAATGTTAAATTAATTCCGGTATTAAGGACGACGATAACAACGTTTTTCTTTTTTTTTTTTTTCAGAAATCGTTCGGTTATTTACGACTAAATGTTTAGCAATGCCGTTAGAGCAAGTATATTCATGATCACGCTGAATGAAAATTAGATACAGCGAAAATCGCGCGACGCTGTAGACACCGCGGCCGCGTTAAAATATCACAATGGCGCGGCAGGTGCATTTACCAGGTTTCACCAGGGCTTTGACGACAGTCGCCAGATAGCTCTTTCATCCGGTAATTAGCCGGAGAGCCCGAGGAGTTATCACCTGGTGCGATCATGGCTGTGTGCACGCGTGCCTCGTCTATTCGAGCACTCCATTCCGAGTGTTGCCACACCACTGGCAACCCGTTACCCACGACCATCCTGCTCCTCCATGTTTAATTAATTAACACCGTGCCGAATAATAATTATCGAAATGAAAGATGGTATCGGCCGGCTTATTTATTGGTACGCGCCGATATCGTAGTTACGTACGATATCACGCGCTCTCCCTCTACACGTTCCTCTCTGTCGAGCTTCTCTGCAACTCGTGCCTACTACGTTCAACCGGCCGCTAATCATCGATAACCCTATCTAAACGCGGCTACGCTAATTGATTCGTAAATTAATTTATCCAACCAGGCGTTGTAATCCAAGCGTTTTTTTTTTTTTTTTTTTTTTAACACCCACCGTGCTATTGAAATTTCGCGCTGGATACTTTCACGCTTATGGAGGTAACATCCCTCGAGGCCCGAGACAATCATAGATTTTTATCCACGGTTCCAGGATCTTCCTCTCGTCCCGACTTCGTTTCCCTTGATGCCTTTCCCCTCGGTCTTGTTGCTTCACGTGATCGTTGTATTATTCAGATTCGCCTCTCGCCAACGAAGCCCCGACGTTTTCTCGCAAGACGTTCAACGCGAAAGCGAGATCAAGGGTTATCCCGTTGGTGAATTTAGTTTACGAATTCCAACCGGAATATCGAGGAATCTCCTATTTTGCTTTGCCAGTTGGATCGATTTTGTCTCGAGGGAATTACAAATAATCATAGAATCGTAAGAAATGGAGAAAAAGAAAACTCGAATTGGACGAATAATGTTCGGCAGATTTGGATTCCGAAGGCTGCGAGTCAGGAATTTTTTTCTTTTTTCTTTTTTTTTTTTCTTTCTTTTTTACCGCGCGAAGAGCAAATGGACAAGATCGTTCGAGCGTAATCGAGGTTCCTCGATATTAAAAGCCAAGGGAAACGGGATCACGACGATTGGTGGCGTGCAGCGATCTGCTTGGTGCCGGGACTGCCGATAATTATGTGCCAATTAAATTTAACGACTATCCATTATTCTGGTCTGCGAACACGCGTACATGCTCCCTACTTTTGTTATCTTCCTCTTTCTACCGATTCGACACCCCTCTACACGATTTCGCTGTCCCTCTTTCTCAATCGCCGTTTTGCTAGCTCGGGGATTGAGCGTGCACACTGGCAACAACTAGCCAGGTCGGAATCCAATTACCTTTTAATATTGTCCGAATGGGCTTGAAATCGAATTGCCTTTTGCAAAAATTCCACGCGATCTGGCTGAAAAACTGCAGAGGATCCCTGCCAGCAAATAAATGTTCCTTTGGTCTATATTTTCTTCCTCCCATACGTCGTAGTCAGAACGGTCTTGAGCAGCAGCACGTCCCCGTTTCCCGTCTCTGCCGCTTCTCTATCCCGGCGCAATTCAATAGGGTAAAATGTCAGCCGATGTTTCCAATGGAATTGGAACGCAGATCGAGACTATGGCTTTATACGATTAGAGTTAAATGCACCTAAGTAAGTGATATGAAGCAGACGCGTAGGTGGATATACGATTCGTGCCGAATCGGGTCTGGTTTCATTTAATGGATTATCATGCATAGTATTTCTATAATTTCCTTGTTATTTCCATAGCTAATGTAACGTTTGGCAATTTGCTCTTAGTAATACAATCGGCCCTCTTCAATTATCGATTTTCAATTAGTTTAATTGCCTTGCACCGGTTATCGCACGTATAATTATTTCTGTGACAATTATTGACAGAAGAAGAGATCTCACCGATTTCGAATAAACTTGAAAACATGTCAGAGGCATGATTCCAAATCATTTTTCCCTTGTACGTGTCTTCAACGTTTGGATAGGTTTTGTTTGTGTTAGGTTTCCACTTGCCTGAGCTTTTATATCGTAATACACGATTTTTAATTGTGACGTTAAGCAAGCATGTTCCATTCTCTGATTTATTCAAACTTTCCAAAACAAATGTTAAACTTCATACAATTGGCACATTGGAAAAGTAATCTTCATCATAGAAACCTCGATAAATAATTCGTCTCTGCATTAAATCGAGTCAGAACCAATCGTTTTAATTTTGCAGCTTCTCCTTTTCGCGTCGACGATCAACAAATGATCTGAATGTAAACGCAATCTTAGTTAAAAATTAAAGTGTTAGATCGCATTTTATATCGGTGTAGTCTCTGATGATTCTCAAAGAATTAAAGTTGTTGAAAATTTACTCAAACACGAACCTTCACTAGATACAAGTAACGCAGAGAAAAGTTTCAAACTATAATTGTTATTAAATTGAAAATATTTCACTCTTTA